CAGTTCAAAGCTGATACTGTGGGATTTTCTGCCTTGATATTCTGAGTTATATGGCTGTGTGGAAGGGCTCTTAGCCTATGTACTTGTCTGAATCAGTAAAGAACTGTATTGGAACTAAAGTTTGGAGATCTGGCTTTTTTATTTTTGAGGGCAGTTTCCTAAATCCTTAGATTGCCAGATTAGTTTTCAAAAGTTCTGGTTAGAAATACTGTTGGAACTGACTATTTGATCCATTATATTAAGAGGCAAGTCAAAATTCAGAATCTCTAAAACAGGCAAACTTTGACTCTCCAGGTGATTTGGACATCAACTCCCACAATTCCTAACTGGTAGGCTATTATGAATTGTGGGAGTTGAAGTACAAATATCTGGAGGGCCAAAGTTTGCCCATGTCTGCTCTAAAATGTACATCTTATAAGAAAGAGAGAGTTCGGAGAGATAGAGAGCTTCCTGAGAGCAGAAGAAAAAGATTTTATAACACTCCTAGCCGTCCCCTACCATGTGTTGCTGTAGCCCAGTCTGGTGATCAGAAAAATAAACTAATGAGAAAGTGTTGGTTTCTTATATATGTTATTTCTTTATGCTTGTGGGTAAACAGTATTTCTTGCTGTTTCTTTGCCAGTGTTGATGTGGAGATTGTCTGGTTTGCCTACTCTGGAACATGCAACATATAATTGTCCTTCTTTAGGGGTCCCTTTCAAATCTATGATACTATATCTGTGGGTGTGTGAATCTATATCTATGCCTGGATGGCTCTTTGTCAGGAGGGCTTTGATTATGTTTTCTTGCCCTGGTGAAGAGAGTAGGACTGGATGGCCTTAAATATTTTCTGTTGGTCATGGGGGTACTGGGTAGGAAGTTTGCCCCAATTCTATCATTGGTGGGGTTCAGAATGCTCTTTGATTGTAGGTGAACTATAAATCCCAGCAACTACAACTTCTAAATGTCAAGGTCTATTTCCCCCAAACTCCACATGTGTGCATATTTGGGCATATGGAATATTCGTGCCAAGTTTGGTACAGATCCATCATTGTTTGAGTCCACAGTGCTCTCTGGATGTAGATGAACTACAACTCTCAAACTCAAGATCAATGCCCACCAAACCCTTCTAGTGTTTTCTGTTGGTCTTGGAAGTCCTGTGTGCCAAGTTTGGTTCAACTCCATCATTAGTGGAGTTCAGAATGCCCTTTGGTTGTAGGTGAACTATAAATCCCAGCAATTACAACTCCCAAATGACAAAATCAAATTTTTGAGTGACGGTCACTCATTGGGTTATTAGGCTACCCCTCTATTCCGCTTTGGTTAGATCACACCTGGAATATTGTGTCCAATTCTGGGCACCACAATTCAAGAGAGATATTGACAAACTGGAATGTGTCCAGAGGAGGGCGACTAAAATCATCAAGGGTCTGGAGAACAAGCCCTATGAGGAGCGGCTTAAGGAGCTGGGTATGTTTAGCCTGAAGAAGAGAAGGCTGAGAGGAGATATGATAGCCATGTATAAATATATGAGAGGAAGTCACAGAGAGGAGCTTCCTTGGAGACTAGGACGTGGAACAATGGCTTCAAACTACAAGAAAGGATATTCCATCTGAACTCGAGTAAGAACTTCCTGACTGTGAGAGCCGTTCAGCAGTGGAACTCTCTGCCCCGGAGTGTGGTAGAGGCTCCTTCTTTGGAAGCTTTTAAACAGAGGCTGGATGGCCATCTGTCAGGGATCATTTGAATGCAATATTCCTGCTTCTTGGCAGGTGGTTGGACTGGATGGCCCATGAGGTCTCTTCCAATTCTTTGATTCTATGATTCTATGATTCTAGGCATATTCTGTCCAAATTTGGTGTCAATTCGTCCAAAGTTTTTTGAGTTATGTTAATCCCACAAACGAACATTACATTTTTATTTATATAGATGTAACAAAATTTGAAAAATTATCTGTTCCTGGTTTGAAAGTGTTATTTCCAGTTTAATTGTGCAGTGCTTACTTTGAAAGTAATTGTTATACCACAGAAACTTTGTTTTTGTGGCTGCCACAATATGTTGAATTAATTGAATTTCTAGGGGCTATTCATTGAAAAACTACAGCAGAATGTGCTACAGGATGTCTCTCAAAAACAAAGTTTTTGCAGTTTAATAAACTTTTTTCCCCCATGTTTTTATGACAGAATTAAGAAATGACATTTATAACACAGGAACAAAAATGTGTTACATTGTGTAATCAACACGTAAATCAAGTGTGCAAAGGGAACTTGTTGAAGCACCTCTGAAATTGAGAGAAAAAAGTTGCCAACCTTAAGCTTTCTTAGACTTTAGTCTACTTCACTGGAGGCCAAGGCCGACAGGGAAGAATTCAGCTAGAAGCTCAGTTCAGCAGAATTTTTATTTTTAAAGCAGGGAGGGAAAAAGAAGTGAAAACTGCATTGTTGTCAGCAAAACAGAAGGAAACTGAGTCATGAAGCTCCTACTCGCACCATGGCTACCCTCCTCAGCACCCCATCCACACAGATAATGCTGTGGCTTTTAGCAAATGCAAAGCACGGGGCTGGGAAAGCACCCGGAATTGGGACACACTGAGCTTTTGTATCTCCGTTCCAGATCCCTGCTGAACTTGGCTTCTGAAATCCAGCATAAAATTAGGCCTCTGCTGTAGGGGAATTCCTCCTTTTCCCGAGGCCTCCCTTTTATCTTTCTGTATCACCTGGACTTGGATTATAGCAAACCCCAGGACACTGGCTGCAAACACAACTTTCACATGGCTGATTAAAGACAGGCTTTTGGCATATGCTCAGAGGCACAGGCTCCATTCTTGGTTTCATAATGTGCCAGCACAACAGGGTTTTTGACGTTCTGGAGGCAAATTTAAATACAGATCAAAAGCCATTCCGCACATTATGCAGATTAAAGTGATAGGTACTTCTAGGTGTGATTGCACTAAATTGTACTCTAAGGTTAAGAAATATTACACTATGTAACATGATTCTTGTTCCTGGGTTACAAATGTTGTTTCCTCATTGGTTTTATCCTAACAACATGGGAAAAAGTGTATTAAACTGTAAAAACTTTGTTTTTGTGTGACATCCTGCAACACATTTTGCTATCGTTTTAAATGAATATAACACACTGATTCAGCACAGTTTGTGGCAGTCACAAAAGCAATGTTTCTGGAGTATAACAACTACTTTCAAAGTAAGTATTGCACAATTAAACAGGAAAAAAACACTTTCAAACCAGGAACAGATTTTTTCCCCATTTTTGTTATATAGTGTTATTGGAATGGTAGAAGCTTCTTCCTGAACCACCATTTATTAATTCCTTAATTAACTTCCCTCTACATTTGGGGCAAAGACAAAGGGAACCCCCAATTCTGGATCACTTCAAAACACAGTATGGGCAACCTGTGGACACTGGACTACAGCAGTGGTTCTCAACATGTGGGTCCCCTGATGTTTCGGCCTTCAACTCCCAGAAATCCTAACAGTTGGTAAACTGGCCGGGATTTCTGGGAGTTGTAGGCCAAAATACCTGGGGACCCACGGGTTGAGAACCACTGGATTACAGCTTCCACTATCTCTGACCATCAGCCATGCTTTCTGGGGATGATAGCTGTTAGAGTCCAAGTGCAGCAGGAGGTCAAAGGCTTCTTGAGGACACAGACTAAGGGTGCATCCACATTGTAGAGTTAATGCAGTTTTGATACTGCATTAATTGCCATGATTAAACGCTATAGATTCAAAGGAATTGCCGTTTCACAAAGGGCCCTTCCACCTTGCACCTATAACCCAGAACATCAAGGCTGAAAATAACACAATATCTGCTTTGAACTGGTTTATCTGAGTCCACACTGCCATATATCCCAGTTCAAAGCAGATAATGTGGGATTTTATTCAGTGTGTGGAAGGGGCCTTAGTTTTCAACCTTCTCTTCTAAAGAGTGCTGGTGCCGCACCAAACTACAATTCCCAGGACTGCATAGTATTCAACCACAATAGTGGAGGTGTGTCAAACTTCCATTCCACAACGCAAAGGCAGCACTAGTCATGGAAGACTTACGCTGCCAATTGTATTCTCTCAGGTCCAGTTCAAAACAGATATTATGGATTTTCTGCCTTGATACTCTTGGATATAGGGCTGAGTCCACACTCGGATAATGTGAGATTTTCAGCCTTGATACTCTTGGATATAGGGCTGAGTCCACACTCCGATAACGTGTGATTTTCAGCCTTGATACTCTTGGATATAGGGCTGAGTCCACACTCAGATAATGTGGGATATTCAGCCTTGATACTCTTGGATATAAGGACTGAGTCCACACTCGGATAACGTGGGATTTTCTGCCTTGATACTCTTGGATCTAGGGCTGAGTCCACACTCGGATAACGTGGGATTTTCTGCCTTGATACTCTTGGATATAGGGCTGAGTCCACGCTCAGATAATGTGCTATTTTCTGCCTTGATACACTTGGATATAGGGCTGAGTCCACACTCAGATAATGTGGGATTTTCTGCCTTGATACTCTTGGATATAGGGCTGAGTCCACACTCAGATAAAGTGGGATTTGATATTATTGGATATAGGCCTGTGTGAAAGGGCCCCAGAGTGTAACAAGACACCTTAGCACCCACTACAAGATCTGCACGCACTAGTTCAGGGCCTAAGCCACAAATGCATTGGGAGAGACTCTCTTGCACACTTATTGCACGAAAAGTCACAAGTGCCTTGCCAATGGTGCTGAGGTTGCGACCTGTCAATCAGATGCTTGCAACAATCTACACTGAGGCTTTGAGGGGGATCCTCTCCCTTTTCAAGCCTTGAGACCCCCATCTCTAGTGTTACACCCCCCAACCCCATAAAAAATAACAAAGGGCCCTTCCACACAGGATATCAAGGCATAAAACATCCCAGATCACATAATATCTGTGATGTGGGATTCCCTGCCTTGATATGCTGGGCTATAGGGCTGTGTGGAAGGGCCCTGAGTCCCTGGAGTGGCAGGTGTCCCTTACCTGAGCAGCTGGATGGCGTCCGTGGAGCGTGGGTCTTCCACTAGGACGAAGACCGTGGCGGGGGGCGGCTCGGGGTTGGGGGGCCTCTCGCTCGTGTCATGGGACATCATCCCCGAGACCCCCCTTCCTTTCCCCCCAGAGGAATGCAATCTAGGCCTCTCTCTCTCTCTCTCTTTCTCTCTCAAACTAGTCGAGAGAGGAAGCTTCCAGATCCAAGCTTGGTCCAAAAAGTGGGCCAAGCGGATCCCCCTTTCCCAAACTCTGCCTTGCAAAGCAGTGCAAAGGGCTCAACCCCAGGCCAGTCTCCTCCCAAGGCTAGAAGGAAAACATCCAGCCGGGGGATTGCCTCATTTTCCGGCTCAAGGAGGGAAAGGAGGGGAGGGGGGGGATCTCTCTACTGGAAATGACGTCGGGCTGGGATCCACCCACTTGGGAGGGAGTTAAAGGGAAAGGTCTCTATTTCCAAAGAGCTCTGCCAGGGAGGTTATGGCCCCTTCCACACAGTCGTATACAATCCACATTGAGCTGGAATATATGGCAGTGTGAACTAAGGGCCCTTCCACACAGCCCTATAACCTAGAACAGGGGTCCCCAAACTTTTTGAACAGAGGGCCGGGTCAGAGTCCCTCAAACTGTTGGAGGGCCGGATTATAATTTGAAAAAAAAAAAACATGAATGAATTCCTCAAATATCTTATTTGTAGTGCAAACAACAATTTAAATGATACAATAATTAAAATGAAGAACTATTTTAACAAATATAAACGTAGCAGTTTAGAATAAATATAAACCTAGCCGTTTAAAAACATGCAAATGTGAGTAGATCAATAGATACCGCTCCGGCAGGAAGGTAACGGCGCTCCATGCAGTCATGCCGGCCACATGACCTTGGAGGTGTCTATGGACAACACCGGCTCTTCGGCTTAGAAATGGAGATGAGCAGCAGAGTCCCAGAGTCGGACATGACTGGATTTAAGCCCCCCCCCCCTCCTTCCTCCAGGAGGCATCCAGGATGCCTCCCCGAGGGAGGAGAGGCTGGGCCCACGGAGGCAACGGGCAAAGCAGGCCCAAGTATTTTGGCACCCCCCCCCAACCAATCATTGATATATATTTTCTGTTTGTCGTGGGAGTTCTGTGTGCCATATTTGGTTCAATTCCATCATTGGTGGAGTTCAGAATGCTCTTTGATTGTAGGTGAACTATACATCCCAGTAACTACACTTGCCGCACTTGCTCCCTTGCCTGGCCCGCGTTGGGTCCGGAGGCGTGTGCACCAAAAGTCACCTCTTCTCCTGACTTTCTCCTCAGCCATTGGGACCAAGAGAGAGAGAGAGAGACAGAGGTGGAGATGCCCACCTTTCCTGAAGGTAGGCGCAAAAACAAAGGAGGGAGCGGAGGTGGGAGATACCTCCAGCCGGAGGGGCTCTCTCTCTCTCTCTCTCTCTTGGTCCCAATGGCTGAAGAGAAAGTCAGGAGAAGAGGCAACTTTTGGTGTGCACACTGGGGTCTTCAGACACGCCTCCGGACCCGAAGCGGGCCAGGCGCGGCGGCTCCGCCCCTTGGCCCACCCGCGGATTGGGGAGAGGAGAGGAGAGCACTGGGGGATCAGGAAAGGGAGCCGGTCATGGGGAAGGGATCGAAACACGGAGAACGATTGAGCACCAGCTCTGCTCGTGCACCCGGTGGCCAGGTGGAGGAGGAATGAGAGGGGCTAGGCAAGGCTCAAGGGCCCGGCCCCCTTGGGAAGAGGATCGCCCGGCAGCGAGACAAAAAAGCCGAGGCTTCCCCTGGACTGCTAGGGCTGTTGTGAGCTGAGGGGGCGCTCCTCATGTGGCGGTCGAGGGGCATTTACAGAGGCGCATCTGCGCCCCTGGCAAAAAAGTGTTCTGCGACCGCTTACTTCGCGTAATGGATGAGCCACCCCTGGATATCTGAGTCCACACTGCATATATACCAGTTCCAAATGGTTTTTATATTGTCATGTTGATGGTTTTTAATTGCACTTTATGGATGTACTAGTCTGTGTTGGAAACCTTAAGTCAATAGGAATTTGCCTCAAGAAATAAGAATGAATTTCTCAAGGCTTATGTCTTGCTGGGGTTACGAAAGGGTGGCTTTCCATATTTTCATATACAAGCACACACATAGGGGATTCATAAGGCATGCACAAGGGAGAAATGGAGGGACAAGGAAATTCATATAGACCCATTCCACCCACCAAAGTCCATAAAGAGTCCAATATTATGAAATCACATAGTCCCCAAGTCATGATGGGGAGTCTATGGGGTTGGGGAAAAATTCCAAAAAGTTTTCAAAAGGTTTTAAAAGTTGAAGGAAGTTGATAAAGTTGTAAAATCTAGTGAGGCAAGTTGGAAATGGTGTCCCAGAGTCCATGGAGTTCTTATGAGCCAGCTGCCAGCATGGAAGATCAAGATCCATGGAGAGAAGTACAGATCCCTCCTCACCAGGGACCAAGGCGGCCCACCGACATCTTGTAGATCCCATGGGGTGTCCACGACAGTTTCCCAAGATCAGCAGGCTCCCTGGGCACCCACAAAATGGTGGCAACGAGACAGTGTCTTAAGAGAAAGAGCTGTGCTCCAGGTCGAGGTTTGAGAGGCAAAAAGGGTTATTCCCAGGGCAGAGGGGTTAGTGGAGCGAAACCGAGATAGCCATTAGTCTTAGAATTCTCCCAGGAGAAGAATCGCACCCTTTTTGAAGCGATCCGTTGACTCACAGATACGGGGCCCAATGGGTTTCCATATCCGTGGTTTAAGGGAACGCAGTTTTGGCCTCCCAGGATACGAAGATCACATCCCAGGCGGGCTGGCAGCCATCTGCGGCCCGGGAGAAGAAAGGTTTATGGAGAGAGAAGTTTGAGGCAATGAAAGGACACAAAGTAACACTATGGAGACGAAAAGGTTACAATTAATTGATACTTTTTATAATAATAATTTTTAATAAAACATGTGTCCATGGTTTATGCGGAGGAAATTCATATGTAAAAATGAGTTTATTAGAGCCAAAAAGGTTTTGAAGAAAGTCCAACAGTCACAAAGGGAGCTTGGTGATTTCCACTGAGCCAAGAACTGGATTCCTGCAGCGCCAAGATCGAACTGGTCCTTGGTCCTTGGGAAACTACAACTTCTTCCAAGGACTGGGACCCCAAGACCAGGCTCTTCCCTGAAAGCCTCATGGGGTAGCCGCACCGAGTCTCCAGGTCAGGGGCTTGGCAGAGGCAATGGAATGGCGAAAAGCAGCAGCACAGCTGCAGCGGAGCCGGTCTTTTGACAATCAGCTGTTTCTTGAAATTATATGCTTAAAAGATTATTCCCCGGGCGTAGAAGCCTGAAATGCAAAAAGCGAGATAGCAGATAGTGTTAGAATTAAGCTAGGAAAAATATGCCACCAAAATGGAGGCAATCCGCTATCTCGCCTTGGGGGTTTCCGTATCCGCGGTTTGGAGGAGCACAGATTCAGCCTCCCCGGAATGCCAGGAAGGCATTCTGGGCAGGCCTGCAGTCTCCCGCAGCCTGGAAAAGGTTAGTTTCATGCATTGGGATAGTTTCAGGCAAGAAGAGACACAAAGTATCAAGCTAGAGAGTTAAAAGTTGCAATTTAATTAATCTTTATTTAGGGATTTGTTACAAAGTTGGGGCTTGGCAGGGAAGTGAAAGGAGAAAGCATATGGCTGTGCAGGGTCCCTGGTTGAGCTTGCTGTTGGGGCACATTTCATCAATTTGGCCCAATCTTTGCACCCCGGAACTGTGGAACTTCCTGCCGCTGGTCACACCAGCTTGAAAGCAGGGACCTGGGATGCCCTCGACGACACCTTTGCTTTCTGGTGGTTCCGTATACACAAACTTTATTTAATGCACAAAATATACAATATATTTGATTTCAGGCTATGCGTATAAGGCAGTGTTTCCCAAACTGGGTTCTATGGAAACTAAGGCCCCTTCCACACACCTGTATAAAATCTACATTGAACTGGATTATATGGCAATGTGTACTTAGATAATCCAGTTCAAAACAGATATTATGGATTATCTGCCTTGATATTCTGGGTTTATATCTGTGTGGAAGTGCCTGGTGTCTCATTCTATCCAGAATAGCCAATGGCAAAGAATGCTTGGAGTCCTTGGGGATAACATCATGATTCTTACTTCTGCTGCAGTTCTCTGCACTTTCACCTGGATATAAGGCTTGTGAAATTCATAGGATTTGCTTCTGCATAGATACATGTAAGATTACACTGGAAGGTTCTTGTTCATTATATTTTTAAATTTCCAGAGCAGGGTTTATGGTTAAATCAAAGCTCATTATTTGGAATGGCATTCATTATCCATTCTCTGACGCCTAATATTTATGCTAGATTTCCCCATCTTGATTCTTGATTAATTTACTGTGTATGAATTTTAACTTAGTTGTTATTGTAATTTTATTCTGGTATTATCCATAGACGATCTTGAGGAAAACAGATCAAAAATCTTCCTCTGAGATACTCATTTGTTTAACCCAGTGGTTCCCAAACTTTGGGTCTCCAGGTGTTTTGGACTTCAACTCCCAGAAATCCCAGCCAACTTCCCAGCTGTCAGGAACTGAAGTCCAAAACACATGGAGGCCTAAAGGCTGGGAACCACTGGTTTAACCCATCAGTTCCCTTGAGGTCTGCTACATTATATGGCAGTGTAGATGGGGCTCTTGAACAGAACACTTCTCTAGGCATTTGTAGGTTGTTCTATAGGCCCTTCAACATAGCCATATAACCCAGAATATCAAGGCACAAAACCCCACAATATCTGCTTTTGAGGTTGACAAATGTGTAGGCCCCTGCTTTCAGACTGATTTGAACTGCAGCAGGGAGTTCTGCAGTTCCATAATATCTGGTAGGGCCAACTTCGAGGGGACTGTGGCTTCAGCAGCAGCTTCAACTAAGAATCATTTCTTGCTTCCTTTTCTCTCCCTTAGCCTAACAGTGTAACAATCCCCCAATAAAAGTATCCTTTGATTCCAACTTTTTCCTCTTCATAGTGATACATTGTGTCCCTTTACTGCCTCTAAAACTCTCTAACATGAACCTTTCCTTTCCCGAGCCACAGATCTTACAGCATACCGGGGATGCCGAAACTATGTTCCTCTGAACCGCGGATACGGAAACCCATTGGGTCCCCGTATCCGTGGGTCAAAGGATCAACTCCAAACTGGTGCTATCTTTTTCCTAGACTAATTGCTATCTTACTTTTTTGCATTATGGACCCCTGCACCCTGGGAAAATCATTTTTATCTCAAATACCATGGGGAGACAAGCTGACTTCGATCCATGGCTCCATGCCGCTGCAACATTCGTACCTCCATCTCATGGGTGACCAGAAGCCTGCCAATCCC